AAAACATAGATGACAAATTAATTGTGGAATAGATTAATAAATTTAGTCTACACTATAATATATTATAATAAATGTTATATATTAACCAGGTGCATTAAAAAATTTAATTTCATAAAATTATTACTAAAATAAATTTACTGTGTCACTAGATTACAGTCACATATTTAAAAATCATTAAAAAATATTTTTTTGTTTACATTTGCTAAAAAATAATATTAAAAATTATTAGTAAAAATACAATAAAATAATATATAGTAGAATAATAAAAAATAAAATGTGATGGTATAATATGTGGTTAAGTGTGGTAATAAATGAAATTATGTAAAAGGTATAATGATATAAATAAAAAGGAGTAAAGAAAGGTGAGTAAACGATGCTGATCCCTTAAGAGTAATAATAATAAAATAAACACGAATGTTTATGACAAAATAGTGGATTGATCTGGGGTTAAATTTAATGCGACATACTTAATTTTTAAATCGGACCATTTCCATTTATAAAAGAGGGGTTCAAATTTTAAAAATACATACAGAAAGTAGAATTTTTTAAACTTAATTTTTGAAAATGTTCCGGAAATACTGACACTTTTATATGTATCTTAAATTAAAGCTTATGTAATATTACTTAATATGAAAAAAAAAATCGGACTGTATTTTGTTTTCATGGTGAAAACGGACATCAAAATTAATAAAAAAAAACCCAGCACAGGGGGGTCGCTGCACAGTGGTGACGTGGCATAGTTGGATCAAGTATAATGATATCTGACAGTGATTAAAATCACTATAAAAAAAAAAAACGCATCGATGCAAATCTTTAGATAGTGTTTAATTTTAAAAAATTGGTGTATTATTCCAAAAACTACATGATCTGCTAGTTCCTTATTAATATCCTGATTAAGATATAGTATGTCAAATGAAAAAGAGATTATTAAAAAATATTATTTTTCATAAAAAATTGTACTGATCCATATATTTTTCAAAAAGTTATAGCACTTTAAACTAAAAAATGTAAATTATAAAATCGAGAATTTATAGATACAGAAGGGGATTCAAAAAATTAACTTTTTCAATATAAGTTTTGAAAATGTTCCGGAAAGACTGACACTTTTATATATATCTTAAATTAAAACTAATATAATATAGTTTAATTTGAAAAAAAAAAATTTGACCTCTGGATTTGTCTTCATGGTAAAAATGACTACCGTATTCAAAAATTTGCTATTTTTGTGTTAAAATTCTGGGTTTTGTATTTTATTTTATTTTAAAATACCTGACAAGGGGAGTACAGATTTTCATAAATATTATATAAATTAAAATTGATATAGTATAGATAGTTAAACTTATTTAAATATGTTTGTTTCTTTTAAGTCGAGAAAAATAACTTTGAAATTTGAACTAGCTTAAATAGCCNAAGTCGAGAAAAATAATTTTAAAATTTGAACTAGCTTAAATAGCCAATTTTTTCAACCATCGGCACTAACGTACGGTTGCCGAGTTGGTAAAACTTATGTTTTACACGCTAAGGGTACGAGGTTCCAACTTGCGTATGACAATGAATTTTTTGCATTTTTTCTTAATTCTTTTTAAGTTAGAATAAATTTTTAACTCGTTTGATTTTTATCTCATTTAGATTCAATAACTTCAATAAAGATCAAGGATCCCATCACTTTAGTCGCCCCTTGCAAGAAGAAATTTCTTATTCGTATTAAAATTATTTTACTATATTTTAAGTTTTCGCTTCGATGCAAAGCCGAGAAGATATTTTTTTGTGACTATCATTTATTTTCTCTGCTCTAACTTGACCTACTTTTTTCAACAATACGTCAAATTACTACAATTCGTATCTNGTAATTTTTATCGCAAACATTACATTTTTTTAACACGCTTATCTAGTTGAAGATATTACCCTCAAAAATTGAAAAAAAAATTCAATATATCAATTAAACAGTTAGTTATTCCATGTTCTCCATAAAGACAATTAAAATCATTCATTTTTAATGTTTTTAAAGTATTTATTGACGAATTAAGTTTGATATGATAGGTTTCAACTACAAAATTTAATCATTTTACTTTGTAATTTAATAATTTTTTTACTCTATTTGTGTGTGCTACTACTAGACTATAATATTACAAATTTTTTNCATTTGATATAATTTTTTTGAAAATTTAACACTTAACCTGCTCATGGGGGGGGATTTAAAATTGCAACTTTTTTACAAAAACTAACTTTTTCAACTTAATTTTTGAAAATGTTCCGGAAATACTGCGTCCTTTAAACATATATCAAATTAAAGCTTATTTTATGTACTATAAAATGAAAAAAAAAAATTTGTCCCGACACTTTATCTTCTGCATGTAAACAGTTGCCGTAGTTAAAAAAACACTATTTTTGTGTTAAAATTTTCGATTTTCAATTTTTAATTTTCAACTTAAAAATGCTATAACTTTTCGAAAAATGCATGTATCAGCACAATTTTTTTTTTTCTAAATACATTATAAGTACATCTTCCATTTGACATACTTTTTATTAAAATTAGACAATTTCCCCTTATATAGGGGGGGTTCAAACTTTGAAACATTGTATAAAAAATAGAACTTTTTCAACTAAACTTTTGAAAATGTTCCGGAAATACTGCGTCCTTTAAACATATATCAAATTAAAGTTTTTTTTATGTACTATAAAATGAAAAAAAAAAATTTGTCCCGACACCTTATCTTCTATGTGCAAATGGCTGTCGAAATTATAAAAAAAATGTAATGTTTACGATAAAAATCACCTTCTATCGGAATGTTTTTTGTACTTAAAACTGCCATAACTTTTTCAAATATTAACTAATCAAAATAATATTTCTTTATATTGAAACCTTAGGTAATTTTCTTTCATTTTATATCATTTTTTTTTGAAAATCTAACACTTATTCTGCTCACAGGGGGGATTTAAAATAGCAACTTTTTTACAAAAACTAACTTTTTAAACTTAATTTTTTAAAATGTTCCGGAAATACTGCGTCCTTTGAACATATATCAAATTAAAGCTTATTTTATGTACTATTAAATGAAAAAAAAAAATTTGTCCCGACGACCTATCTTCTATGCGCAAAAGGCTACCGTATTTAAAAATATGCTATTTTTTATTAAAATTCTAGGTTTTGTATTTTATTTTATTTTAAAATATTTTATTAGGGGAATAAACTGACTTTCATGAATATTATATAATTTCATTGACATAGAATAAAGTTCATAAGACATATGATATTATACTTATTAACATTTTTTACTTTTTTAAAGTCGAAAAAGTAATTTTTAAATTTGAGTTAGCTTAAATAGCCAATTTTATCATGCAACAAAAATCAACGAATAGTTGCCGAATGGGTAACACCTTGATCTTTAACGCCTAGGGTACGAGGTTCAAATCCGTTTGTGGCTTCTAAAATTTTGCATTTTTTTTTTGAGTTAGAATAGAATTTTCAAATCATTTGATATTTATCTCATTTAGATTCAATAATTGTCCCAACGACCAAGAATCTTATCACTATAGTCCCCCCTCGTGAGAAGAAATTGATATTCATGTTAATATTATTTTACTATGTGGTTCTTTTTGTGGCTACGATTTATTTTGCNGGTTCTTTTTCTGGCTACGATTTATTTTGCCAACCCTCACTAGACCTAATTTTTTCAACAATACGTCAAATGATTCATTTAAGTTTATGATATTTAAGTTAATGATTAGTTTAAGTTATTACTCTTAAAAATCAAAAAAATATTCCTTATTCAAATAAAAAGTAGCTTGATTGAAAATGATTTTTAGTTTCACCTGAATTTAATGATGGATTTTACAATTATAATTATATTTTATAATACGCTCAATTGAGTAAATCTGTTTAACTACTTTGGTTTGATTGGTTCATTTAATTAAAGTAAATTATTAAAATTAATTAAGTTCTGAATATTTCAATTGCAGAATTTTTTTAAACGCCAAAAGTTATTAGGATATGATTACTATTCTTTCTATTTCAGTTATCTATTACGATAAAAATGCAAAAAAATCGAATTTTTCTGACAAATGTACTGTAATTAGTAATTATAAAATTTCCAGATTGCATATTAATCTTAAAAATTTCATTTTTTTCAATTTAATAATGTCAATTTCAAACTTGCAAGTTGAACTATAAGTTATGGTAACAAATTCATTTTTTAGCTTCGATGCGAAGCTGAGAAGGTATTTTTCATTAAAACTTTCAGTTTAAAAGACAATAAAAAGTAGGTTCAAAATGATTACCTTTAACATATTAAAAATCAAAATCAGTATTAATTTAATACAATTTTTTTTGTTCTTAATTATTTTTTTTTATATGTAAATACTTATTTTTTAATAANCTTTTTATATGTTGTAACAAGCAAATTAATTAAGCTTAATAATAAAGGGGAATGGCCTATTACTGTGCGGTGGTGTTGTTTATTTTGTTGAAATCAAAATGCGGAAATAAGAGGGGATAATAAATAGGTACACCTGCTTATGATTGTATAAATTATGAATTATATATTACAGTTCTGCAAATGAAATTCTTAAAAGTAATGGGAAAGGGGGGGTAACTTACATACGAAAACAATCTTAATATTATAATATAAAACAAATACAAAATAATAATAAATTAATAAATCAATAACTTATCTGATGTCGGTTGGAGAAAAGTTGAGACTATGGCAAAACTATTGACCGGAAACTAACTGAACAAAATCAGTAAAGCCTACAAGGCGAGCAGTTACTAATTGTACGGATGCCGAGTATTAGATGCGCGAGACAAGTGTACTGTTTACGTACCAAAGAGGATGTGTCGCTCGCTGAGGAAGTAACGATGACCGGACGAATCATTAACACGTTCGAACCGGTCATACACGNGAAGTAACGATGACCGGACGAATCATTAACACTTTCGAACCGGTCATACACGAGTGCCACACTCTACCCAACATATGTAAATACAGTAAACTCCCGATTATCCGCTGTCTTCCACGGAATCGTCTACATACCTATTTGTAAACAAATATTTAATACTAATACACGTGTATGTACTTCTATTAATACACATTATGTTATGTTCTTTTAATACTATTCCCTGGAATGTACATTGCACATAATTATCGGTTAAATTGGGCTACGATAGTCGATTATGCGATAACGTACATTACATATTGCATTTGATCACTAATAACGCGTATATCTATTTAGTCTTCTGTCTACCATCGACTAGAACTTTGTGCGTTTCGCGTGTGAAAAAATGAGTGAAAAAAGAAAAAAAGTGCTATTGTCAATTCAAGACAAACTTGAATTGATTAACGATATTAAAAAGGGTACGTCGAAAAAACAAATAAGCTTGAAGTATGGAATAGGAGAAAGCACCGTTAGAGACATTTTTAAACAGAAAGATAAATTAATGAAATTCGCGTCCGCATCTGACAACAACTCATCAATGAAAAAAAGAAAAACCATGAAAACTAGCACTTATAAAGAATTAGATGCGGCTCTTTTACAGTGGATAAATCAAGTTAGAAGTGAGGGAACTCCTGTTTCAGGACCTATTGTTTCTGCAAAAGCAAAACAGTTTTTTGAAATGTTAGGTTTAGAAGGGAAATTTGACGCGTCATCAGGGTGGTTGACAAGGTTTAAAAAACGCCACGGAATAAGAGAAATTGGAATTAACGGCGATAAATTAAGTTGCGATGAACAGGCAGCGGAAGATTTCAAAATTAAATTTGAACAGTTTCTTCAAAAAGAGAAAATATCATATGAACAATTGTATAGCGCTGATGAGTCGGGGCTGTTTTGGAAATGTTTGCCAACACGAACACTTGCATTTGAAAGCGAGCGGCACGCACCAGGACATAAAAGCAGTAAAGAACGCCTAACCATAATGACGTGCAGCAATGCAACAGGTTCTCAAAAATTAAAACTGGTAGTGATTGGTAAATCCAAAAAACCGAGATCTTTTAAAGGAACCAGAGCTGAAAACCTTCCCGTACACTACTTTAACCAAAAAAAAGCCTGGATAAATCAAGAAATATTTAAAGAGTGGTTTGAAAAAAAATTTATTCCCCAAGTAAGAGAACATCTCAAGTCTCAAAACTTACCTCAGAAAGCTGTACTGCTTATTGATAATGCCCCATCCCACCCAGTAAACTTGAAATCGGAAGATGGAAATATTTTTGTCAAATTTTTGCCTCCTAATGTCACAGCTCTCATCCAACCAATGGACCAGGGGGTAATTGCTTCTATAAAAAAAAATTATAGAACAAGTTTGCTTAAAAAAAGAATTGAAGAGGGCAATGATCTTAAAAGTTTTTGGAAAGATTACACAATTCTTGATAGCATTTATGACATAAATACTGCTTGGGGGTTAGTTAAGCAAACTACGTTAGTCAAGTCTTGGAGAAAAATTTTACCGTGTGTGGAAAATACTTTGATAGAGGAAGAAGAAGAAGTGTCTGCTTTTGATTTGGCTAATTTTTCTAAATCTCTTACTGGAGGAGAGAATTTTGACGAAGAAAACATTAATGAGTGGATAAATTGTGATGCCAATGATCCAGGATTTGAGCGTCTTAGTGATGAACAAATAGTAAGTGGAGCATTAGATACAGTTTCGGAAAGTGAAGGTGAAGAAGAAGAAAACGATGAAATAAATGATGTAAAGCAAGTGAGCCATGAAGAAGCTCTAAAACATATAGACGGGATCATTAAATATCTAGAAGAACAAGACGATACAACTCTGTGTGACAAAATGTTATTAAAAAAACTTCAATCACAAGTTAAAAAGAAGAGTTTTCAAACAAAGAAACAAAAACTTTTGACTGATTTTTTTAATTAATTATTTATTCATTTAACATTTATTTAAATATTAAATATTATTTATTTTAATAATTTATATTTATTATTATAAATATATTGTGAATAAATTTAAATAAATTCAATTTCAACTTAGTTTTTATTGTAAAATTTAATTTTGCGGATTATCCGCGGAATTCGTTTATCCGTGGATGTCCTGCCACCCTATTCCACGGATAATCGGGAGTTTACTGTATAT